AGGACGGCGTCTTTCTTGATTCAGTTATCGATAGCTTTGCTTAGAATGTTCTTGCAGTGAGAATTTTTTGCAATAATTTAAAACACAGCAGTGGAGAGGTTCAGATAGCGAGATTTACTGAATATATAGCATTTTTCAAAGTGAACTGTCTGCTATGAACTCAAAACACCACGAGTGGAGAAAATACTTTTTTACTATGATATTTCCAAGTGAATTTAGTTTACAGATCAGGTGGCTGAAAATGTTCAACTTTCTGAAAAAGATTAAAAGCATAGGCTGTTTACATTTCACATGTGCAACGAATTTATGTTATTGCTCTAGGACGTCGAAGAATTTGAATTGTGAGAACACACTGACCAAATTCTTGCACAATTGTCACTGATTATTTTCTTTATTTATCGGTCAAACAATTGTTCACTGAAATAAGTCGACGTTTTCGTAATTGTAATTGCAATTTCTACGCGATTAAAGTAATGCAAGTAAGTTTTCTGCGGTAATCTCGATACAAAGCGAGAGGAAATTTTCGCGTTTTGTTTTTGATTCCTTCAGTAGCTGAACAATTTTCACGTTTATGAAAATATTGACTTGCTTGTACATTTACATTTCAAGTGTAAATTTTATAAAATGTTTAGTCGCAAAATTAATGCTGCCATGTTTCAAGAAAACAATGTAATTTATAACTGTGATGTTTGAACAAATTTTCAGAATTTCAAATGAACACGAGGGATTTGCTTTTTACATAAATTTTGCCAGTAATTTTCAACATAACGTAAATGAAATATTCGCAAACATTTTATAACCATTTATTTCACTTCAAAATGTGAAAAGATCGTAAGTTGATTGATTCTTCTGGCAAAAAGATGTGATTACATTTGCTCGTGTTTCCTCTCTAAAATGTCAACATTAACTTCAATATAATTGTACTTTCTGATTGCTTTATTAAAAAAAGACTTGAAACTTTCAGTTGCACTGTTTGTGGTAATCTCAAAACAGACTATATTTTATTTGCCTGCCGTGAAAATTTTGCACTCCTATTTCTCATTTTGTTCAAGACAACACTTGTAAGAAATAACCCACCCTTAGAACTAGACATTATCTTAATCATAAGAGTCAGTAACATACTTGGCTTTAAACAGTTTTGAAACATGAAATCGAGAAAAATTTGAAATGATTGCATGGCCAAAATAGTGCAAAAACACTTGAATAGTTTCGTATCGAGTTAAAGATTAACAAATAAACTATTCATTTTCGCGGCGAATTTTTCAAGAGAAAACAATTCACAGTTTAAAGCCTGGTATGTTACTTGTGTTTGCTTTAATACAGCATCTCGCATTCGAAACTGGTTTAAAACTTTTTCGTGGGACGACATTTCGGAGTTTGTTGTTTAAAAATTTTACTTGAAGAATTGGCAAACTTGAAAGTACGTCCAGTTTCTGTGCTAGATGCTGTTCATTTTGTTTAGCGGGGAATATTTTAAAAGAGGCCCTCTTTGTTTGATTGCAAAAATTGTTGTCAGGGGAAACGCTGTGCAAATTTTTTTAAATTTTCCCGCCAAAAGTCTTAGTATATAGAGGGCACATTTTTTTGTTGTCACCTTTTAATTAAATTTTACTTAACTAATTAAGAAAATAAAGAAGAATTTAATTGATTTTAAGTACTTGTTGATTTAAGAACAAAGAAGAAAATAAAGAGAAATGAAATTGCAAACTGACACTGTTTTGTTGTATGTACTTTATTCAGACTTAGTATGATTATAGATAAAATAAAGAATGGAAATAAAATGAAACTGTTGTTTTGATTTACTTTAATTAATTAGTGCGAATATTATTTAAGATAAGTAAATAAATCACAACAACATTGCATGTATAAAAAATAAAGGTAATTTTATATCAAAGATATCTAAAAATGAAAAAAAAACGGCGCATGCGTATTTTGAGCACCCGTATTTTTTTCTAAGTTTTTTGGCGGGAAAATTAAAAATTTTTGAACAGCGGTTACCATGGCAATAATTTCAGCCAAACATTTGCATAACCCTCATGGCAGAACCAACAAATACATCAAAGTTAAACAATCTTTAATTCTGGAAATATTCACAGCAAAACTTATTTACAGTAAAAGTTGATAAAAGGAAATTTGAAAAACTGGCTGTCCACAAAAAAACTAAGAAAGCTCCAGTTCAGATTAAACTTTGTTTTTACAAAACAAATACTTCCGCAAAAACTAATGAGCGAACGAGGTGGAACTTAAGTTTACGAAAATCAAAATTTTCAAGAAAAATTAACAAGAAACCGTTTCTGCGTGTGAGAAAATTAATATTATCCTGGCCAAACGAAGTAGCAAGACGAAAATGATTAAATCTGTCGACGATTTGGTCTACAAACTGTACAGGCTTGATAAGCAATAAATCATTACACGCTAAATCATTTATTTTGACGTATTCAAGACAATTGGTTTCAAATTTTGCGCCAAATTAAATGCAACATAATATGAAAACGGCAAATCGATGAATAGTAAATCATAATTTGATCTCTCAGAGACAATTGGTTTGAAAATTTGTGGCCATACCAAACGAAACTTGTAACTGACGAAAAAACATATGCTTCTAACTGGTTGCTTTCGTTTGTTCTGCAATACAACTAAAGTTCCACCTCACTATTACAACAATACTGAATAAATTCTACAGAAAAAGCGATAATCAGGGGCACCCAAACGTTAAATACAACTGAGTTTTAACTCAAAAGCGAGCGAGCGAGCGAGCGATCAACAACTGCTAAGAAACACGCGATGAAGCTAGAAAATTGATTTTAGTTCCAGATCTGTTTAACAATTCAACTGAAACAGCACCGTTTTGATTTTGGCAAAATATGTGAATTATCGGCGAGTGAAATACTTTCTAAAACTGTCTGCTGTTTCAATGTGAAGCTGAGTAATCCAAACCAAAATTCTATACCTGTATTGGCTTATTCAAACAACAGCACCGACGTGATTTTGGAAAAGAGCAAAGCAATTATCCACGAATGGCATTATATTCTCTTAAATTGTCGGCCGTTTCAATATATAGCTTACTTAAGAATCCAAAACAACATATCAGCATTTCAAAAACGATAAACGAGACAAAATGATAATGGCAAAGCTTTTTATTTTCAAGTTCCAAGTTTAAAGTTTTAAAGCTGCTTTCGTCGGGTGCCCCTCTAAGTTTCGTTTCAAATTCTGTTCAGTGATTTTCTTCGCCCAAATAACCGATATTAAACCATTAAATTTAGTGGGGTAATATAGCACTGAAACTAGTGAACGTTCGATATGAGCGTAAAGCCAACATTTGTTTCAATGTAAATTTTAAACATCGAAAAGGCGCGAATATTGAAAAACAGCTACCATTGCTATCGAAAGTATTTTATTTAAACGTTATAGTGTCGGCTTATCTGTAATTGTCCTCTTCCGTCTTCCGCGCTTTATGATCCATTGATTTATTCTCCTTGTTTGTGTACTTGCACACATGGCGTTTGATTCTCTCTGAAGAAAAATAAACAAATGAAAACGTTAGACACGATTAACTGACATGACAGATTGTCAACTAAAAATCTCCTAAAGTCAAAGAATGATAGCTGGGAAGGACTTAACTTTTAAACGCAGTACGAAAAGTCTTGCAAGCGGTAAAGAAACATTTTACAAATCCTGAAAGGGCACATTAGCTTGGCGAATTATCTAATTCATGGAGCTGGTCACTATATTTACATGAATTCATGTCAGTGACAACTTGAATTCTAGTGAAAAGTGCCTGCTTTCATCGGCAAGTGTGACGTAAACCTGAAAATTTGACGCTCAGTCTTCATGCAAAAAGAGCAAAAATCTCCCTATAAAAAAACTTGATTTTCCAAGCTATATTCAACTCCAAAGCATAAGACAGAAATGGCTTCAGAAGCTACGAAAATGATACTCAGAGCGAAGCAACTCTCAACTCTGGCGAGTTCACACGGTCGACGACAACATTCTTAAATTGAATTTAGTACACAATGTTCAGGTACTCACCATTTAGCAGCCAAAGCTTGGTCAGCAAAAGATCATTTCTCCTTTCGTTGTGGAAGTTTTCAACCCTCGGTTCTGTGTTCTTCACAGTCAAATTCGTCTTTAACAAGAACACGGCCATGTCTTCACACACGCCGGCCAACACACGAGGACAGCGAAGCTTGTTACTTCTCATGAATATGGATACAATCTTCACGGACTAATACGTCACAAATTCTTGGGAGCAAAAATGTCTTGCATATTAAGGTTTATTCATGATAACTTCGTGTTTGACACGAGGGACACAATAAAAAGCTTCCAATCAAAAACAGGTACACAACCTTTACTGTACTTGTTTAAAACGCCTTACATGAAGAAGTAAATTTTAAAATTTTGTTGCAAGATGTTAAGAACTTGCATAATATGGGAAGAAAAAATAACCCACATTGTTTTAGACAATGGATTTTTTTCCCGATTTTTTTTCGAGACTTATCACTGTGACAACCTTTAATTTTCTCTATGAATTTATTTTGATCAACAGTTTATGGAAACGAAAAATGAATCAACTGCAAGCAAGAGAGGATAAAAGGTAGTGAAGAGTCAATGACCCGGCCATATGGGTAAAATAGAACAGATATAAATCTGAAAGCAAACAGTTTTAGAAATGCTTTCTTTTTTTCTTGGTAAATGCAAGGGCATGATGGTCCGTGATATATTCTGCCGACAAACTGGTTCTTTGTGTACCCGAGTCCTCTTTTTCGCACTCCCAAACGAAAATAACTGGAAGCTAAAGGATAAATTAAAGTTTCCTCACAATCTCAGGTTCACTGCGATTTTCGAAAACTAAAGCTCGATCTTTTGGTTTTAAATTCCGCCAGCCAACCCGATTCCCAAAAATTTGACAGTACTACTTGCTTTAGTGCTTACTTACGTTGCTCCTTAACAGCCCCACTAGGGAGGGGACAGGTTTGTTTTAATAAATAGTGCATACAAAGTTAGTAATCAAATGAAGTAATCCTATTTTTATTGGTTGATAGTCAGCTCGGAGTATAATTGTTGATTTTGTTCGACGGTACTTCTGAGACAAGGACACTAGAAGTGCGTGCGACTTAGAAATTAGAATGATAATTAAAAACGAATTCTACTACAACATGGTCGAGAATATTACAAGAAAATAAGCTACATTAGGACTCCGTCCACACTAACGCGAGGAAAAACACACAGCAATATACACAACCAACCAACGCACGTATGTAGGGGTCTTTGGCGGGAAAAAGGAGAGACCCTGGAAACTCACAGGGGAGGAGTAGATAACGGGAGATTCCAAGTAAAGCGAGAAACGCAAACGCGCCGCAATTAATGCACTGTATGAATCACGGTTTCCTTCACGAGTGTGTCACACTTCGCTGTTTACCTCTGAAATCTCGTATACAATGTAATAGGTTTTCGATCTGTTTGATCATCCGAGATGATCAAACAGATCAAAAACGTTAAGACTTATAATTTTAACAGCTTTTTACCTTGACGTTTTATATTTACTTTTACCGGCGAAACGTATATAATGTAATAGGATTATCTAACTAGCCCAGAGAAAAGGTTTTCTTTTTAAATATAGCCGTTGTATAAACTTGTCCTGTTTTTCTGTCGTTTGTTTCTTTTCACAGCGATGCAGAGCACTCTAGAAAAGCTCTACTACAGTGTACATTTGCTTTCCACCAACGACAAATCCACTCTATATCAAAGCCCGATCACGGGCGAAATTGCCCCTGCAACGTTTCCAACGTTTGTTCAAAGCCGCGTGTACCTCAGTAGTCCAAGATGAAATCTTGTATAAATGCGGTCCAGACCTTTCCGATTTCGCTTGTGTCCTCACTGCCTATTAACTCGAAATATTTACCCGCAGGGTGCAATATTGAAATTATCCAGTGCAAATTACCAGTCAGTACAGACTAAGAGCTTCCGATAGAAAATTGTTGGGTCAAAGTTATTCGCCCTTGCCAGGCTTATGCGACTCTCTCTTTCTCTCGTCCAGACGTTTAGCGTAGGCCTGGGCCATAGAGTTGATGATTGACAGCAGGAAGTAGATGATCATGGCGATCACAAGCTTCTCAAATATCCAGGCGAGAATATTTGGTTCCTGTAAAAGAGGAAAGAAAGAAACGAATTACAGGATCAGTCACGCAATTCCTAAGCTTAAAATGTTAAATGCTATCTTGCTAAAGCTTATCTTAATTTTAGTAGTGTGAAGCGAATACAGCGTTGAATAAGGGAGAGTCCAGTCAATCAGGTCATGTGTCTCCAAAGCCAATTTTACTTCGTGCCCAGGCCCCTCCGGATATGAGGGAAGGCGGCTCTGGGGACGAGAATGATAAAAGTATCTTGCCCAAGAAAACAACACAATGTTCCCGCCAGGGCTGGAACCCAGACCGCTCGATCCGGAGTCCCGTGCGATAACCATGAGTCCACTACAGCTTCCAAAATTACCCTTAACAGTCTGGCGTTTCAGGTGAATTCGTCATAGCCTCCACTTACCGAGGTAGTAGTGGCGCCTTGTCCTGGTTTCCGATGCAATTTCTCCTTTTGCTTTTCCAATGCTATCTTAAAAGGTTTCTGAATATAGGGACCAACGGTTGGGATGTCCCTACAAGAGAGAAGTAAAATAAGTACTGAAAAAGAAAGTAAACGAAAAACGTATTTCGATCAACACCGCTGTAGCTCCCCCGCTTATAAGCGCCCCCGTCCCCGGATATACATGTAAACTCCTATGTTTATAAGCCCATCCAAAACCCCTTACGAAGTTGTGTAAGCCCAGGGCATATAAACGGCAGTTTATGGTATTGTACTGAAATGAGAAAAGTTAACCGAAAAAAAAAGCTAGTACAACTTATGTTTTGAAAAAGTACTGACTAACAGTTAAATACGACTCTGTCAGTCGCCCCTTCAACAAACATTACAAGTACAAGAAAAAAAAACCCAGTGGTATAACTCACCCAACATAAGATAAAACTGCCTCTACATAATGCTTGCTAAATGCTAGGATAACAAATGTTTTCTGAAAAAAAAAAGGTCATACGTCAAACACAATAACAAAAACTAAACCAGTATCATAAATAGCACGCCTTCCCATTTTATTTAAGGAACTTCCAAAACTTTAATAACAGAAAGCAAGGCAGTTAAATAATGAAAAAATGCCATTTCCGAGGACACTCAGGCTCACTGTGTTCACAAAATCAAGTAGGAAATAAACTACATGTATCCAGCATCAAAGTAAACAAGTAATTCAGACATTACGATTTACATGTAGTGGTACATTAATTGCAAAAAATTTCGGACGATTTCAATTTCGAACAAAAAAAGTGTCCAAAAATAAAACCGTCCGAAATTTTTTAGGGTCCCAAATATTTACAGTACATTATAAAATTTTAAAGTAGCTCCAAAGCTCTTAGTTTCCTTTATAGCGCGAACTCTAGTCGGGACATTGCTTGAGATATGTAACGGCTTGATAGAATTATGTGCTATTTTCTCGTCAGGCTATCGTAAAACCTTGAGGGTTCAGTAAAACTATCATTTTCACAGATGTTGTTCAAGTGTAATTCGTGTTTTGTAGGCGTAAATTTGCTTTTAGCTATGTTTCATCACAGTGTCCAAAAATTTTGTCCCAAATTTGTCCGAAACGAGATAAGCGTCCGAAAATTAACCGTCTAAAATAAAACGCCCGAAATTTTAACGACCGAAAATTTTAAGTAATGAAAGTACAGTTCCTTCTACCTGGAGATGCATCTTTATAACAGCCTTGCCGATGAGTGTCGCTCCAAAAAACGTCCAGAAAGGAACAAGGCAATGGCCACAGGTGATACCAGCTAAATCAAACAGAGGGTTTGGAACCTGTGAAAGGAGGAAATAATTCTAAGGCTCAATTCTTGATCAGTTCAAGAACACTCCGAACAGTAAACAACTTAGAAACAAGACAAACATTTTACAGAAACTGACTGGATGTTCAACTGAAAACATGAAAAGAAACAGAAACAGACTCTGCTGTGCTATTTAAAACACTATTATCGGGCAGGATGGAAGTCAAAGTAAGGTGAAATTAAAGGACTACAAAATTATGCGACTGCTGTGAGGTCATGATGTACAAGAACCTTGGGATTGCGATTTGGTGTCCATATCATGGTTCAAGTTTCAACAAGGCAGTAGTCTATCCCAGGCGTTCGGTTCCTTGGGGCGCAGCGCAAAAAAACAGCGCGCCCCAACTAACTGAACGCCTGGAAGAGGCTAACAAGGCAGGGGTTATGTTACGATTAAATTTTTACTTCCTCTTGCTGTCAACTCCAGGTGCTAAAGACTGCTGTGGTGCATTTTGCATGAAAGTCTATTCTCATTGCATACCGCCTCTTTACACTGGCAGTTTTGTTTCCAGTTTTTGATTTTGTTCAGAACACTGGGTGTTTGGTCACTGTTGACTGAAAATGCACAGGTTTTTGGGACAATAATGAAGAGACGGGAACAAGAGGTGGAAAAACGTGTAATCTGCAGTTCCAGAAAATATCCATATCTCCCCCAAGGAGGAGACTTTTTCTAAGAGTCCCCCCCATCACACCCCTCTGAAATTCCAATAAATCTTCACACATTTCTTTAAATTTTTTTGGTTTTTCAGAACTCCCATCACCCCGCACACCGTTGAAATTCCAATTCTTTCTGTGGGGGGAGTAAGGATATTTTCTGGAACAGTGCAATGTATGTCAATTATATTTCACAGGTCTCTGATTTTGAATATTATTTTGAATTTTGACCAGTCATATCATACATAACTGGCATTTACATGTAGTTGAGTATCAGTTGATACAATCACATGGTTCATGGTACTACTGAGTGACACAAAATACAATCATGTCAACTAATTTTACTCACCGAGGCACACACAAGTATGCCAAAGAATCCTACTCGCTCTACTAACTCAAGAACCATTTTCTTAAGTCTAGTCCATAAACTCTGATCGGCGAGAGAGGTTAGCCTCTCCAATTCTTCAACTTCTTCAAGCTCCTCATCATCTGGGTCAGTTCCAGACAATCGTGCTGAAGAAAATACATGATTGTAGAAATCAATATGAAGATTCTTGAAGTGGAATTTTCATTAGATTGGAAGTGATGGTAACTTCGCTGTCAGTGATTACTTGTCTGCCTGAGTAGCTTGTGTTGTTAGAATTTGTTATACAGGGGTTGGGGTGGGGGTGGGGAACAGGGGGGGAGGGGCACACCTTAACGTTGATGGCTAAACATGCCAACTGGTGGAAACGTTGGCACTGAAGGATTGAAGAAGCTGAAATTTGTCAATCACAAATTTTTCATCACACATTTTTTGATGTACACTGCACATGTATTTTTTWAAATGTATATTAGACATTGTCACTTGTTACCTGCTCTTGCCATGAAATAAGGAGGGAGTTCTCCAATGGCTGTGCCTGCACCCTAAATGGACAATGTTATAGCACTGTAAGTTTTCATGCATGAAGTGCAATGAAAACAATTCAATCAACTGCACAATAACTTTGCTGGAAACTTTACAAAATGTGTTACATAAAAGCCTTGTTAGTATTCATCAATTGATACAGGATTTGAAAGTACAATGAAGCAGTTTGTCCAACTGCTTATTCAGTATATAAATTGTGCTGCTTAGGTTGGACAGAGTTTGTTGGGAAAGCACTGACCCTTGTTTCGTAAGTATGGAAATTGAACAACTTCTAAAAAATTGTTTTTAGCAGCATTTTTGTCAAAACATCAATTTCAAAAAGCTTGTTTCAAACTTTGCCATGATTGATTATATTTTCAATAATTATTGATGACTTACCCACATAAAAGCCTCTATCCTAACTTTACTCATAATCGTCAACATGTTTACCGGTACTGTGGAGGTGTGATCATCGTCAGGACACTGGATACTGGGGGGCAACAATTTCATATGAGTGCATACTAATACCATCCAAATCTTTGTGCCTTTAGATCCTTAGTACAGTGGGACGCCACCTTACAGCCACCCTGCTAATACCGCCACCTCA